ACAGGTTTCCAGAAGGAAAGTCTGGAATAGGAGAGTATTTGGCACTCCATATTAATTATTAAATTGGTAGTTCTAGAACATGGAAAGTAGATACTAAAACTATCAAAAACACAGGGTAACACTGGGTACAGTTTTATTCGAAGTTAGAAGAGGCTGATGAACAATATTTGCTCATTAGAGAATGGTGCTAGGCATTTTTGTAATCCTTCAGAGCTCAGCTAATGACTGTACTGAAACATTAAACTTGCCAAGGAGACCGACTACATCCTTGCTTAACCCTTTCTTCTCTTCATCCACTTCTTTAGCCTGTATGTGATTATTTCACAGTTTAGCAAGAGGGAAACACATTGATATGATGAAGAGAAACACAGCCATACACATGGAAGTTTCTTATAGATACCAGAAACTGTAACATGTTTACAGATAATTCAAGGCCAAGAAGTCAAGTGATTTAGAAAGAATATTTTTCCTTCGGTACAAAATGCCAAAGGCCAACACAAAATCAGTGAAATGGCTTGGACTGGGGTTATGAGGCTAAGGGAGTTGCCTTCCCTAGAAATAGGTAGGAATTAAGGGCATAACAAAGGTGATTTACTGAAGTCATTTCCATCCATCCTGCAGGACACTTTCCACGTAGCACCACATTGCCTGCGTGTTCCTTTCCTGTAGTAAGGTCAGAGAACATATAGATTCAGAAAAGCAAATGCACTTCAGTGGAAGTCACTAAATCTCTTGCTGTGTTGGGAGACTGCAAATCAAGAGGAGGCACCCTTCCAAACCTCCCAGCCTTTATGCTCTGCAGGTACACTGGCCAGCAGGCACAGCAACACCTGTAAGAGCTCCTGAACCTATGCCTATTTTTCTTAGGAGCAATGAAAGAAGGGAACAAAGGAGTGAGAGTCTGACAACCGAGAGGCAGGCAAGTGTACACTGGCAGGGGTGAGGAGAGCAGCTGCTACCGCATATCACTGGGGACATCATTTATTTACAGTACAGCACTACTGCTCACCTCCTGTCCACACACCAGCAGCCATTATCAAACTTACATCTTCCCCTGCCTTCATTGCTGGAACTTTTTTTTTTTTAATTTGGTTTTCCCTTGAGTCCCTCAGAAATCCACTGAAAACACTGCAGCTTTGTCTCCAGTCTGCCTTCCTCCTTTTTTGTATCATTTCACCAGCTCCTCTTTTCACCAGACTCACTATTGCTCTCAAAACTCAGAGCTCTGCCTTCATCCTGCTTGTCCCTCCACTCTACCTCCACCTATCCTCATGTTCAGCAGGAGCTGAACTCATACATTTGTCTTTGTGTTGCCTCATTCCATACAAACCAATCCCTGTTACCACGATCCTCTGTTCTTGTTCAATTCTCCCCCAGAACTGACAGTTCTAAATACTTCAACATAAATTCAGAGATACAGAATTGTCAATTCACATTTATTCAGCCAGGACAAAGGAAAAAGTATTGATTGTCAAAAGCACTTTTGACATCATCATCCTACAGTTTGGTCTTTCTACATTTGAAAGCTACAGTGCATGCACACAGTATGATTTTATTTGGGTTATATCCCTTCTCCACCTTTACTCTGTTGCTTGTCTTCCAGATTCTCAACAACTCAATTAAAGACCCTTCCCCAAGGCAAGGCACACAGCTCATTGTGAAGATTGTTTATAGAAATTAAATAGACAAGAAACAATGAGGTGGCAGCAGGCAGGCAGTACCTGTGGATCGCTTTCAGCACCTGCTCTAGTGCCTCTGCCTGCCTTGTTGACTGGGTAATCAAGGATCATGCAAGGACTCTGTTACTTGGTGCTAACATTGATACTTTGTCCTCAACTCATATTTGTCTGCGTTTGTCTACAAACCCACTGCTTTACCAGAATCTAATTTATATTTCTATTAAACGCCTTCATTTCCAGCCTTCTGATAGAACTAAATTCAACTTCATATTACTATATTTATGCAATTATTTCTGTCAGAGCTACCTCATATAGATTTGCAATCACCACGTAGTAGAGATGAGCTTTGCAGATGCCTTCACCCAGCTACTGTGAGCACAAACAAGCTGCTTAGCACTGAGTCACTGAGAGCACTGCTCTCTCGGGCTGTTGTCATTGCATCTGCACATCCCAAGCTGTCTGAGCAGTCTCCTCTCTGATGATGAGGAAAGCTCATGGAGGGTGAACCTGGGATTTCTGAATCTTGAAGGGGAAGGAACAACACTCTTCTGAATTCTTATCTGCTCTCCTCTGGTGCCCTTAATCCAAATTGTTGCTGCTAAAGCTCAGATTTATTATTTCATTGAAACAGGAACAAATGGATGATGTTTAGCAACACTGGCAATAAATGCTGCTAATTGCTAATGTAGTTGCATGGCTAATCCTTAATCATGTTTCTGAGTGGAAGAGTTAACACAAGATCTGTTCATCTTCCTCGCTCCTGTGATTAGTGCCTATCAAATATTGAACACCAAAGTTTATGACAGTTCAAAATGACTTAATCTCTAATTTGGTCAGATTAAGGCTCTGGGAATAAAAAAATCAATGTAATCAGTGAAGCCAAGCACTCGCAGTTAGAAAATTCCCTTAACTGCCAAATCTACCCTTAACTAATGAACTTCACGTGGATCTAGCCTTGGACCTTCTCTCTTTCACCAGTAACATAAAACCTATTTTAGTGACGCATGAGCTGTGGAAAACAGTTTGTGAGAAATACACAAGGAGTTCCATTCCTTTGATATTCACCTATCAGCTTTACTCAAGTATCTGCTAGTATTCTTCTCACCAGCATTAGTAGGTACTGCACTGTGTTTTATATTTTTTCTCCGTAGCTTTGAGGATTTATCTTCATTAACAGACTACTGAACAAGGGTATGTTGAATGAACAATGGTCAGCACTTGTAGTACTCACCTGCACTCCTACTTACAGTTTAAAGAAAACATTTTGGGTCGAAACACCTTGTTGTAGGCGAATGCGAGACCCCCCCACGGGATGTGACGAGATAGGCCCTCTCCCAGCTCTATGACTGATGTGTGGCACAACACCTAAGGTGTGTTGCTCAGCACTTCTATCCATGCTCTACCCCTCATCAATTCTCCTTATTAGCTACAGAGAAACTCTACAAAAGAACTGTTCAGGTTTTATTTAATTCTGAGAAGTCCCATAAGTAAAATAGTAGCTTATTTAGTAAATAAACACAATGTTATTTTACTGTTTTTGTTGATTTGCAATGTTTATCAAAGACTTTGCTTGATGATCTTATGATTTTTTCCTAGTCTAAATGATTTTACAATACTAAGTAAATATAATCAAGTATGGAAGCAGCAAAGTTTTTACATATACATATTACATATACAGATACATTCTAAGCACAGATACAGAGAATAGCTTGAGAGCATCCCTGAAGAGAAGGTTTTTGGAGTGTCAATTGATGAAAGATTCAAAATAAGCCAGTTGTGTGCATTTGCAGCCCAGAAAGCCAACTGTATTCTGGATTTCATCAAGAGAAGAGTGACCAGCAGATCGAGAGAGGTGATTCTGCCCTTCTGCTCTGCTCTCATGAGACCACACCTGGAGTACTGTGTCCTTTTCTGGAGCCCCCAACACAAGAAGGATATGGAACTCCTAGAGCAAGTCCAGAGAAGGGCAATGAAGATGATCAGAGGGCTGGAGCACCTCCTCTATGAGGACAGGCTGAGAGAGCTGGGGCTCTACAGCCTAGAGAAGAGCTCTGAGGAGACATTATAGCAGCTTTCCAGTACCTGAGGGCGCCTACAGGAGAGCTGGGGAGGGACTTTATTGAGGAAAGACAGTGACTGGACAAAGGGAAATGGTTTTAAGCTGATTTAGACTAGATATTCAGAAGAAATTCTTTACTATGAGGGTGGTGAGACACTGGAATAGATTGCCCAGCTAGGTTTGTGGATGCTCTCTCCCTGGAAGCGTTCAAGGCCAGGCTGGATTGGGCTGTGAGCAACCTGGTCTACAGGGAGGAGTCTCTGCAGATAGTAGAGGGGTTGGAACTAGGTGATCTTAAAGGTCCCTTCCAAACCAAACTATTCTATTATTCTATGATATATCTGAAGTAAAAGAAAAACTGCATTTTGCTTTTGTTACGTGACAAAATAATTTGAACAGTAGAAACATACTTTTTGCATTGCAAAAACAATATGCACAACACATACTCAAAACCTTTGCAGAGAAACCGTTGAATATGACACAGTTCAGTCCTGTCTAATAACAGATACCATGCCAAATAGCTTCCCTCATATATACCATCTTCAATACTGTTGGTTTTTTTCACCCCACTTTAATTGAAAAGCTGCAGACATGGGGGATGTTTCAGAAACCCAAACCACATTCATCCTGGCTTTTTCTCCTTTTCCATTCATCTGAGGAACAATCCTGCTACTTTCCTTTGACTTTGGATCAGAGCTTATGGGATCATGAAGGTTATTTCACCCACTTTAGCATGGCTTCTGCTATAATGCTCAAATTCTAACTCCCTTCCATTTCTATACCTCATTCTCATCTTCTACCCCTCACTTTTCTCAGATTTTCTTTATGCATCATCTGACACTCGCATATGCAGTGAAGGCACAGCTGCTTTATCCATCAGCAACACCTTCCCTTCCTGTTCACTGGAAACAACTGCATATTGAGGACAATTCAACAAGGACAGAATTCCTACCATGTTAAAGGTACAGGTGGAAGGAGTCTCCTCACCAAACAGCCTGCCTTTCACAACACTAACTGAAAATAGTAGGGTTTTTTTTGTTTGTTCGTTTGTTTTTAGTTAAAACAGAGGTTTTCAAGAGTGAGCACTAAAGTTCACATTCAGCAGCATGGACATCCCCGCCCAACACACACTTTAAGGTAACAAAGCAAGCTGTCAGGCCAGGCGTCTCCACTAGCACGCATAATAACTTTTCCATACCTTGTGAAAAAAAGTTTCAAAGTGTTGATTAAGTAAACTAGAGTAACTATGATTCCATTCTTACCCTTGCAGTGAAGTCCACAGCAGCTCCTCGATTTAACAGCAGTGTAGCTACATTGATATTTCCATAGTGAGCAGCTATGTGAAGGGGTGTGAACCCACTCTGGAAAAACAAACAAAAAATACATATATATAAATAACTGTTCGGTTCTCCAAAATTTGTAGCACATCATTGACTAAAGCTAGTAATAGGAGTGTGCTGCAAGTCACCATTCCAAATCTGTACTAGTTTTCACTCACTGGCAATTATTTACTCACTCTCAAAGTCTAGATAAAATCATACTGCTGTGCAGGAGGGAAAATAAATTAAATTAGCGTAATTATTCTAGAAGATCAGAACTAAAATAAAACTTTTAGATATTTCAGAAAAAACAGCAGCAAAACATGTAACTATTAAAGCATTGATCTGTCTTTTATAATACGTTGATTTCTGATGTCTACTTGTTATTGGCATTATACTAGACTGGCAAACCAAATTTCTTAGGAGATTCTTAGGAGAAGTTCAGATACAAGTCATTTGATGATACTTGCTAAATGTTTTTATAAATTCAAAGTAGATGCAAATGAAAACAACATCAAAGACCATTTTAAATGATTAATATGGATTTATTTCCAAGGGTTAGTACCATAAAGATCAGTCTCCCACTGAGGGCAATCACACTGGGTTATGTTCAGACACCACAAGTTATCAACCTAATTAGAAGATTCCTTACTGATAACATCACTTCAGCAAGTTATTTTCATATTTAAGTAGTTTTACTTCTTTTAAAAATAATGCTAAAACATGCAGCAATTCCATCAGTCCTGCAAAGTATGAAACCTTAGGGAACTAGATGCATTTCTAAATCGTTAGCAAGCCATGCTAGCTGCCACTGCCTTGCTTCGGGAGTTTTGCAGATTTAAAATCACAGATCACTCTATTTGCTGACACCATCAAGGTAAGTGTCATGCAGAAGCCTGAAATCAGTCTTGAATGCACAACACAACAGGGTTGTCTGCAGCTCTTGACACATCTGGTAAATGTCTACTCCATGAGAATCCCTGAAAACTCCATCTTACAAAATATCGCTTTTTTATGATGGCAATCAGCACCCAAGAACACTTACTCTCATTTTTAAACCCTAGTTTCAGCTGCAGAAAGCCCTGGTATCTAAACTACAGTGTTCTCTAGCACATGCTACTTCATTTGATCTAAAGCAGGTAACTATCCTATAAAAGGCGATGCAAAAAGGAGGAGGAAAACATGATGCAGCAGCACTAAGTCATGGAGGAGTGATGATGCATATATATATTTATATATACCTCTGTTGCTCTATTCACCATCATCTAGGTTAACACATTTGGAAGCAAAGAGGGGGAAAAAATGAACGGTTAGTTCACCACTGGTGATATGGATGCAAAAAGCTTCATGATTGCTACATGGCATGGCAGCTCAAACGACAGCACAATTGGCACAAAGAAAGCTTGACTGAATGGAAGCTGAATGATTGAGTATTTTGAATGTTAATTGTTACATGTTTATTAGAATTCTTAAAGCGGCAATTTCACAAACAACTAATCAAATGACTTAATTGTATGGTCTCTCTAGCAGACCACCTCAACAGTGGCTTCCATTTTCAAGAGAATGATTGTAATAATATTTTGCTTTTATTTTCCATTTGCAAAGTTTCTAAAAGAGGAGTTAGCCCTGATTCAAACAAAAAGGGAGTGAGGAAAAAAAGAGGCAAGGGAAGCTAATGAAACATTATTTTTAGTCACAAGCAATCGGAGAAAGTTACGTGCAACTCATAAGCCAAACACTTTAATAAAGGGAGATCTTCACTGGACACAAGACGTGCTCAGCACTTAACAGCATCAAACCTTATATCCCTACAACTGACCTTTGACTCCACGTCAGCATTGTGGTCATTCTGCAGGAGCAGAGCCGCTGCCTTCGTATCATCCTTCCGAGCAGCGATGTGAAGAGCAGGAAGACGGACTTTTCCTTTTGTATCATTTTCAAGCAACAGTGAAACCACCTGGTCATGACCTTGCTGTAAAGCTACTGCCAAAGGTGTGAAACCATCCTGCAACATACAACAAGGCTGCTCAACACTTATTCCAGAATTTCCAGGGGGTGAAAAAAGGAAGTGAAGAGATCTCATTGCAGGTGATAGTAAAATTATAAGACATATGCAAACAAAGCTGACTTGGAAAAAAACATTAAACTATTCACTTTACACACTTCACTATATGCATAAGTGTGTGCGTTAGTACACAGAAATACAAAAAGCTGGTATTACTTAAAAGTGGTAATGATGTCTCCATAGCAAATTATCATTCTTCCTCCCCAAAGCTACCAATTATAACATATAATTCCATTTTATTATTAAATTTCATCTCAACTCTCAAATATTTAAATATGGATTTTGAACAATATCTGTATATATTTAAACAATAAGTATCAATAATACATTTCAGTAATATTTGAAAAAGAATGCTCATTCTCCCAATATACCAATTGCTTTGCTACAACTCCAAAGCATACAAGTGACATATAATCCTCTCATGAACAGAAGGTATTTCTTTTCAGACTAGCAAATGATAAACCAAATGTGGAAGAAGACCTGAAAAATAGAAGACTTATTTAATAGATTTTAGAGTGGATCCCTCAAACACAGGAGAAGTACAGCCCAAGATGTTTTTATAATTGTATTTTAATGGATTTTTAGAAGACTGAAGAATTAGTTATTATTCAGAATCACTTTTATCCAGTATAATACCCACAAATCACCCGAAATCATAATGCAAATCATACTACTTAAGGATTTATTTGGTTATTACTTTAACACTTGATCTGTATGTTCAGAGTTTTTATTAGTAAACCTCAATACAGGGTGGTAGGTAGAAAACACATTCTATCATTTCTTTACTATTTCTGTCATGATCCAACTGTATGTTTACATAAGTGTGAAACAGCAGCACAGCAGTATCATAGAAGTATGCTGATCCCTACAATGCCAGAAGTGCAGAGTTCAAACATTAACTTTTTAGCTGTTGGAGGTAGAAATAATGTCTTCAATAAGGAATTTCTTCTCTGTCTCCCAAAACAAAGAGAAACTAATCTTAAGAGAACAAAGGAAAGAAAAGAAAGACAGAGATAGCATCTTTGCAAAAAAAATTGAGGAAAAGATAGAAGAAAACTTAATGAAATTCCTTGGTTCCTAACAAGTCATTTATTTAAGGAGCTGCTGTTTTTTCAGTTAATTTTTCCTTTCTCGTTGAATGATTTATTTATTAACTCACTGAACCCAACCTTCTCCTTGGCACGATGCTCACCCTCCTGTAGAAGCAGGGCAGGGCTCTGGGCTGTGGTCCCAGGGGTGTTCCAGCAGGCAGGCACATGGTATGAAAAACACTGTGCAGCTTTGAAGGCCAAAACTGCCACAAATATCCCCACCAGAGGGCTCTGACAATATAGCTACACTGTACCTGCAGAAATGGAGACCTGGAGGAACCTTGAAAGGGACAGCACACACATGGTGACCTGGAGATGTTTGCTTCCCTCTCTACACAGCCAACGGCAGTGGCACGGTCAGCTGCTTCTCAGAGACAAGTGCCTTAACTATCACCAACATCTTTTCTCAACAGACTTCCTCTTCTGGTAAAAATGCTGCTAACAACGAGGAAAAAAAATCCTAGGAATACATTTTCCCCTTTCCTTAGGGAAAAGTGAGTGTACAAATGGGAGCACTTCATTTCAACACCAAAATAGCTGCTATCTCCTACACTCCGGTTTCCTAACTCTGACGAGGTCCGCCAACAGATTCAGTTTGTGCAGAGATCACTGTACCACGGCCAAGAAACTGAGACCAGGAATATTAGCAATGACAAGAATGCATTTCCACCACATGCTATCTGAAATTACCGACCCCAAAAAACAATTGCAAGTATCTCGATGTCAGTAGCATAATTAGCAACTACACTTTAAAACATAAAGCAAAGCCCACTCTAGGAAAAAAAAAAACAACAAAAAAAAACTAAGCATGATTTAAAGACAGCGTGTGGCTCTACTTTTTTAATGTATATTAAAACGCCTTTGCTGAAGAGTTATTAGTAATGAATAATTAGTTGAGTAGTAACTGTCTAATAACAAAGGCTTTTGAAATTAAATTTTCCTATAAAAACTTTAACCCAGAGAAAACAAAAAGCACTCCTAAGCAACTATCACAAACAAGTAAGGCAATAAAGGCAACATTGTTTTGCAGGCTGAATCTTTAAAGGAATTACAGCATGGGTATCAGGCTGAGTTGGACAACAGCTCAGCCTAAACTGACAAAAGAAGCTCAAGAGAAAAAGTGTAGAAGAATCAGAACCAACTACTTGTGCACAATTCTACTTAATTCTATTTTCAGAAAATCAGTTTGGCACAGATTATAGGTGATTTTGAAAGCTTTTCATCCATGAATTATTTTTACAATACTGTCATCAAAACAGAAGATTCTCTACATACATCAGTAAGCAATGATGTTACAATGTACAGTGAAGCAATGAAGTAATTTTTCATCTCGTATTTTGCAAAAAATGCAACTTTCTCAAGCATTATTGGTTTTGTGGAATCAGCTCACATGGAGCAGTTAATTTCCTAAAAAGTTTTAGAGAGAATACTTTTTTTTTTTTAACAGATGGAATGCAGTCCTATTGAAATGCTATTTAAGACTATTTTTAGGAATATTAATGTCTGCTATTCTTATAATCACTTTGAATATTTTTTCAAGTTTTCTCACGGAGTTATAATTATTCTTTAAAACTAGAAATAAAAACTGTTGTTCGAGAAAGATCACAGAACACTTTTAAGGATGGATCTTCCATTATTCTGTCAACTTGCAATTATCACTGCAAAACCAGACAGAATACTTGCATGCTGCAGAGAGGGTATCAACTTGGCAATAAATGCAGCTCAGAAAATACTCCAAGCACTTAGTAACCCTGGGTTTTCCCTGATATCCCAGAGCTGGCTCCGCAGCATAAACAGTTCTTGCTTTATGATTGCCCTCTATATTAGTCAGTACTTTTAATGAAGGCACAGAGAACTTTTACATCTTGCATACAGCTTCTCTGAGCACTTAACCTGAAAGATTACCAGAAATGACTAAGAACAGAACATGTCTACTTTTAGAACTGTTTCTAGGTTTTTTGTTTTTTTGGTTTTTTTTTTTGTTTGTTTGTTTGTTTTTTTAATTCTAGAAATGGCAAGAGGTTTAAATTGCTGAGAAGTCAATAAATCAATATTCATTAGCACATTTCATAGAGAGAACTTTTTTCTGCTCTTCAATTTCGCGCTTGAAAGACAAGCTTGGTGAAAGCTGGCAACAGTTACTACTGGATTGCATTGTATTTTCTTTGCAAACTGAAAAACTCAAACTTTTACCTCTGTGGCAAGGCTCTGACTGGCACCATTATCAAGAAGAAACTTAACAACCTCCAGGTGGTTTTCTTGGGCTGCCATATACAGAGGAGTGAAACCATTCTGAAATAGGAAAACAGGAGTGTAAACACATCACAAACATTTTATACATAGCAAAGGTCTGCCAAACTCAGGTAGATTAACAGGAAAACAAACAAACAGCATTTGCTCACATACTAGTTAGTGACATGACCACCCTTGATTTAACTGAAGATAGGAAAAGGGTAGTTATTACTTTAAAAGACACTTTCAGTTGAACAGAAAGTTACTACAGGTAAGCAAGAATAGTTCCTTTTATATCCACTGAAGTCAAACTAAAAGTCAGTTTGAACAACCATTTGGTAGAGAAAAGCTCTGATTCACGATAAATGCAACTGCAGGTCAAAATACAAAATGGGACAGGCAAATACAATGCACATCTATAGAGACAGCAAGGGCAATGACTTAAGAATGATATTTTCTCTTTTCTCCATTACCTTTCATTTCTAATTCACTTGTGCTTCCTATTTATGGCTTGTATCTCCTCAAAGAGCTGCCTGTAGAACACAGCCTGCTTGTGATCACTGAGCTACTTCACATTTCAGGCATCAGGAGATCTTGGGATGACTGGTTCTCAGCAGTTCAAGACAAAGGTTTATCAGTGTTTCTGACCACATTAGAGCATTTGTCAAATTATGCTCAAGTGAGTGATTTCAATCAATACAAAACTAGTATTAGAGGCTGAAAGGCTTAACTCATTCTCTGGCAAGTACTTTCCACTTACAGTCAATGCTGTTATCTTTGCCTTAACCGTACACAGGCCACAACCTTTCAGGAATTGGATTTCCACAATTTAATTCTTCTCTACAGTCCTATGCATTTCTGAAATTCAGAGCTTTGACATAACTCACAAAACCAAAACAGCAAAATGAAATCATGATACTTGTTCTGGTTTCAAGGTACTTCAAAAGGAATTCATAAAGTTGCTGCTTTGAACCTGAAATTGCTTGGTTTTCATATAACACTGCATGTTCCTCAGTGCAACAGTCAGGAACCAGTGGATAAATTCACTTTACAGTAACAACTTGCATCATCCACATAATATTGACTAAACAGTTTGGTAGAGGCAAAACAACCAAAGTAGCACCAGCAATAAAAACAACCAATTATTTTATCCTGTGATTTATGATACATTTGTTTACTCTTCATGCTCCAGCACGACCCTTTTTGTCAGTTGCAATGGTGCCAAGCAGCTCTTCTCTTCAACTGCTCCATCCTAAGACCCCAGAGCTCTTGCCTGGTTACACAGCACTCAACCGAAGAAAATGAAGCTCAGCTCAGCGCTCACACCAGAACTTGGTGTTTCTTGCTCAAGCCCTGAAGATGTGCTGACATACAGCTAAGACAGGGAAAGGTTGAGCTTCAGTGGCATGAATAAAGAAGAGCCAACAAAAACCAAAGAGTGCATTTTAACATTTCTAGAGATCACATTTCTTTGTAGCTAGGCCCTTTTGAGAACAGGGAGAACAATTTGAAAATCTTAAACAAATCAAGTAGTCCTATTGCAAAAACAGGACAGAAGCTCGGTGTTACCCTGAACATGAAAAACAACCACAGACAGCTTTTGGGCTTGCTGCACTTTTATGTCAGTGAAGCAATTCCAATGGCAAAAAACAGAACCAATTCTGGTGTGCTTCATTTCATAAACACTTCATCCCATTCTGTGAGAGCCAATGAAGTAAACAGAATAGAACAGGAGGTAAGGGCTAGTTAAAAATAAGAGGTATAACAGGAGAGGTATTTCATCAGGCTTCAGTAATGAGGAGGTCAGGGAGCGTGTGCATATGACTGGGTTTTGCTGAGACCTTGTCAGCACCCTCAGGGCTGCAACACGGTTAGAGCAGACATTTCGGCAGGGCAGAAGGAACAGGGGAGTAACTCAGCAGTGCTGCTACAGAGGACACTGACCTTGCTGCAGGAAACCAAGGGAGACAACCAGAGGTGGGCCATACAGTTGCATCATTTGCAACAAGACATTAACATTCTGCATGCTGGAGGGATGAAGGGAAATTATAGTCTAAGACTTGCAGCAGTGAATGATGGCTAAGTTATATTAGCCATGGCAAAAACAGCTGAAAGACATTGGATTGTTACAGCAACAGGGCAGTGTTGTATGGCACACATCCAACGTGGATGCACAAGAGTGCAGGTGACCCAGGGCCAAGCATGTAGACTTCACTGGCAGCAGAGGCAAACAGGAGTGCAGAAAAAATGACAGTTGGAGAGGAAATGGCATGTGAATGCCTGATCCAAGAGGAACTTCACAGTCAGGAAGACACTGAGCAGCTGTGAAGCCACATGTTTACAAGGATCACACAGGCTGCAGGGTCTGTTGCTGTTCTGGTATTTGGGTAATTTGGTCTCAATTCAGTAAAGCACGCTACAAGCGTGAAGTGCAATGCCGAAGTTCTACCAGAGGCGAAGCAGTATGTCAGTGCTCTCACCAGAAATGAGACCTAACAGTTTTGCTACAGCACAGTTAAAATCTGGCTTAATGTTAAAAACAAAACAAACAAACAAAAAAACCCCATAAAGTGCTCACTGAGGTGTCTGTCACATTACAGATTATTTTTTATAGTGAATAGCAGTCTGGCACTTTTCCCTATAATTTCATGTCACACTCAGTGCCTATTTAGTAACTCAGCTGGAAATTAAGATTAATTTTCTTAAGTTTTAAACAGTTGTATTTAGACAACAAGCAGGAAATACTTCAACACTCCTGATTGTTAGTTTCAGGAAACAAATAATAGGTGACATTTCTCAGAACCAAGAATTATTAGCATCTGGAGGCAGAGCAAAATCCTTTTTCTTATATCTAAGTTAGTGTAGGGTATTCATAATCTTTTCCACCACACCCTACTTTTTCATTTCCCTCAAAATAAGAAATAGAAATTGATAAGAGAGCTAACATACTACAAGAGGAGGTAAAAATTCAGACTCAGAATTATTTTTATATATATTATATAATATATAATATATATTATATATATTATATTATATTTATAATATAATAATTTATAATTTATTATAAATATATAAAAATATAATATATTAGTATTATTAAAATATATAATTATATATATTATAATATATATTACAATAATATATATATTTTATATATATAATATAATATATATAATATATATATTATATAATATATATATATATTTGAAGGACACAAAGATTTGATTAAAGACTTAACCTTGCTAATGCTAGTGCGTTGAGCAGGATTGAGCTGCTACCTTCAGGTGAAGAAGAAATAAAGCCAAACTCACAAAAACAGGGTCAGTATTGAAAAAACAAACAAACAACAACAACAAAACTTCTTTGGGGGTTTCTCTCTGTTGGTACATAAAAATCATCAGAATGTTATTACAAGCTCTACAACAGTTAAGTTATGCTTAGAGCCACTGTTCCTGGTGCAGGAGCAGTTAACAGGGAGCTCCAGTGACCACAAGGGATCCCTCAGGAAGACTGATCCCAGGTGGAATGTCACACCCACAGGTACTGGTGTAGAATGGACAATATACAAATGGCAAAGAAAATCTATTATTCTCACATCTTAGCAAAATTAAGGTAACGTGGCAAAACCTTAGGGTATACAGACAATGCAATTATATAAGGTGTTTACAATCCCAGATTGTTTTTATTTTCAGGGATGAATACACAAGTTCTAAATCACAATCAGAAAAGATCAGTTTCTCCAGCAGGAAAACCAATGGAAATGTTTCTGCTTTGTTTTATATCCTAACACACTTAGAAAATTTTAACTGGAACTATTATTGCTATTTTTCTCTTTACGTTCAAATTCTGTTGTGCCTAGAACTAAATATAAGAGTACTTAGCTAGCATAAAAGAGTGAGAAAGTGAAACAAGTAGCTCATTTGTCCAAGCAAATAAACATGAAATATAGTTTGCAAGTACCTAATATTCTTGAAAGGGATCCTCTTAAATATTTTGCTCATATTGATAAACCATTTTAAAATGTTCATTTAAAATGTGCATCTTCATAAAATATTTTTAACGTGGCTTCTTAGGTTTCCTTCTCTTCCTAAACACTGTCTATCATGTCCAAACTGTCATAGTATGGAAAAATAGCAATACTGGACCAGATGACAATATCACCTCCTAATCTGATCTTCTTTCTCTGACGCTCATCCACAAGCAGGGAGAACATGAACAAGAGAGGACTCCAGAGTCACCTGTGACACAGCTACTTCTCGTTTCCAACAGTCCATGGTTTACACATTTTTAAAGCCAGAATGTTTTCCCGTTTCTTTCTACTTCTTTTCTTTTAACACTGTTTTTCCTTATTTCAAATCTTCCATAATTGATCTAAATGATCCTTCAAAGGACTTCACCGTACTTAAAAGCTCTGCATATGCTTGTGGTATCTACTCATACAAGGGAAGGGGAAGGCCTCAATTAAGCCTCAGACACTAAATCATGTGAAACAAGATCTCTGTCATTTGAAAAAGTTCTCTCCCACTCTCTGGTTTTATCAGTATCTCTTCTGTCTCTGTAACAATTAGCAGTTCATAAGACACACTGGAGGGCAGATCTAAAGCTGAAGGGTAAATGCTTTGCTGTGCTGCACATTAAAGAACCACACAAGTATATTCCAAACACCCCTGGATGTGGCTCTGCTTTCTTAAACTCCAGCGGTGTGTGCCTGTGTGGCTCCTGAACAGCTTAAAATAGAGATGTTATTTCTAAGCTTCTTCCGCTGGTGAATGAGGTGGGCAATTCAGAGTTAATACTGACTTCAACAAATCTGATTTTCAAGGGCCAGCATTAATACTGTGAATCTACCAAACACACTTACTAACACCAGAAAGGGAGACAGACTGTATCATCAGCAATGTTCCAAATGGGAAACTAATATTACTTTACCTGAGATTGTGCATTGACATTGGCTCGATTTGTAACCAACACTTTGACAACTTCTGCTTGTCCAGCCAGGGATGCTATGTGCAATGCTGTGTTTCCTTTCTGAAATAAGAAACAGCAATATTTGAGAAGACTACAAAACTCAACCTTGAATACACAACAATATTGTCAAGAATGCAGTCCACTTTAAAATACAGTATTTCCTGAGATGAAATATTCTTTTTGATTACTAGAAAACACAAGAAAGAAACCTACACAGAAATCCTCAATTCATTGAGTAAATCACATCCCTAGTCATCTCCGGCATTTACTACAACCCAGCAAGTTCCTATTAACTTAATCAGTGGAAAATAATTAATTATTGCTGCAGTAATGTCTGCAATCAATTGGCTGACACCTTACATACATGGCATCAGTGCGGCCAAGAGAACAATCAGATGGGCCTGACTGACCTTTGTCGCTGCATCCACACTGGCACCTCGCTGTATCAGTTCAGAGACAACTTCTACGTGCCCTTCTTTGGAAGCGAGATGGAGTGCATTCAACCCATTCTGATTCAAACAAACAAACAAACAAAAAACAACAAAGAAATGCAACTTAAAAGATTGGCATAGCTTTTCCTTTGTAGTAAATAACACATCAGCAGCTGATAAATTATATCCCAGTGAGAGGACTGCTTCCAAAAATTATTCTCATGTGAACCTTATGACAAATATATTGCAAGAAAAGAGTATGAACTGAGTTATGATATACTAGCTCTGAGGTCTCAAGTCCTGTGTGCTGTCCAAGATGTGATGTAATGCAAATGGAATGAAAGATAATGTTAAATAGCATAATGTTCTCCAAGTGGAATTGAAATGATGTCTTGGTAAGGGGTAAAGTTTGAATTGGGTAAGATATGCAAACATGACTCATCCGAAACCAAACACATTATTGCTGATACAAAGTTGAAATACATAGACAGAAATGTCTTTTCTTGAGAAAGGAGGAGAGAGGTATTTTACAGAAAATTTGATCAGAATATTTTTCAACCTGATTAGAAATGTTGATGTCCACTCCACTTTTTAAGTAGTCAAGAGCCTTTTCCAAGTTGCCAGCTCGAGCAGCTCTCAAGTAACTTGCATTTGTGTCAGACTGGAAGAAAGAAGAAAAAATTCTGTTAGGAATTACAGCACTATATAAAATTATATTCTCTTGAAAAAGAAGTTACTAATGATACAATGTATTATGCATACATTTAATTAGATGACAACAGATCTCAAAATGCCTTCTCAAATACGGGTCAAAGCCTGTCCTCCTTGCTTAACTCTCTCTGGTGTAAGTATGCTTGACAAGGCAGCACAACATGGACTTCACAAATACAAGTGAATTATGCAGCAGTGACCACCGTGCAAGGCTAGTAGCCAAGGACACGTCTGTTACCCAGTCATGGTGAGACACAGCACAGGACTCCAAGGAAATCACCCCACTCTTTCTAAGAGAGCCACATCATATTCAGTGTCAAAATAAACAGACTGGACTGCTACTGTGAGATCTCACATAACAGACTAAAAAGCAAAATACTCTGTGTTGAAGGACTGGACTACTTGAATGAAAAACTAAATTCTACAAGTGAAGGCACTTTACAGTGATTGTTTTGTTTTCCCCATTCTCCCTCACTTTACGGCACATTTTATTTACAATATTTGTCCACATTTCAGTGATCAGAAATCCCTAGGCACAGCACCATTATTTCTTCACAAAATTTTAATTATTTTTCAGATCTTCCTTTAAAGATTGTCTTTCAAATTTTCTTTATTATGACTTCAGCTTGAATATCAGCATGACAGAAAGGATGGTTAAGTCATGAAAGGGATCTCTGAAAGCAATTCCCATTCCCCAGAGGGTTTTAACAAGTTATGTAAATATCCACCAAGGATGATAATGCTGATCCTGCCTTGGAGCAAGTGGAATGAACTGGGTTAGCTTTCCAGAGGGACAAATCTTTGATTTTATCTGCACCACAGCTTCCCCTGACATTCTGAGAAGTCAACACATGTTTTTGAGTCCTCTCCTCCAGGAACTGTCACAGTTTTTCCTCAGTATCATTTCATGGCAGGCTTACATCACTATAGCTTTTAAGTGTTTTAAGGTCCTCTAAGGTTCTAGAAGTGCAGTAATTATCTTCATAGGAAAAAAATGAAAGCAATAATGGTTGAGATAAATATAATACATTGTGGCCCCAATGCTCAGTTACCCATCCAGCCTAAACTCATTGTTTTCATCCTCCATTTTCTAGATTTGCTATAGACTTCTGTCAATTCAGCTGCTGCAAACTGGATGTTCTGTTCAAGCACTGCCTCCAAGTCCATTTGAAGTTACTTCTTTTTGTATAGGATGAAGCAATCTTGGGCATAATGACAGCAAAATAGCAAGCTATATGAAGATTGCTTTCCTCTTTGTAGTAATACAAGCTACAAGGCTATTTCACTAATGCTTTCAGCACAAGCGCGCTCACTGTCTCTCTCAAAGAGAGAGCTATTACTTATGGACTTATTTTCTTCTGTGTTTTGTGCACATAGCATTACGCTTCCAAGGGTAAGTTACTGGTTTACAGCCTTATCTGCTCAAAATCATTATTTCCCAAGTATGACATGCTGATCACTACAAATCAATTTCTGTGATGTGCTTTCAACAAAACAGCCCTCCAACACCAGTGTTTAATTAGGCTCTAAGAAAAAAATCAGGCTCAGGATGCTGCTACAAGCTGCATGGTCAGCCCTGTAAAGACTGTGGGGAAAAATAGCTGCCTGGAGAGGGGCAGGAAAACAATCTCATTGGGAAGATCATTTGAACTGTGCAATGCAGATTATTACAGGAGACAGGTCATTTTCTCAGTGCTTAGCAACAGCAGCCACTGGGGTAAAAACCAGGTCAGCATTTTATCAGCATTACCAAAGGTACGAGGGAAGGCTTAATAGACTGGGAGCCTTTTTTGTCACAGCGTAATGGCATGCCTGTTTGGCATAGTCAGCAGGTGGACGCTAATTAACATCAGCTGTTTACAGCTGCTTCTGGGTGGGGAAGGACGTATCAGAGAGTCTTGCTTTGGAAAATCACTTCCAGCCAGTCACACCAATTCACATGAGACAAGAAACACTGCTAACGCTCAGACAGATCTGAACCTTTCTATCTGCTCAACAAAACGCAGGGAGGGGGAGAGAAAGCAGAAAGAAGGAATGATAAATAGCCAATACACATGTTAGCAACAAATGACTGCTGCACTGTGCAGGACAGCAATGGCCGTGTCTTTTAAGGACTTCTAACGATAAGAGTCAAGGTACACTCCCAGTGTGGGCACATAAAAATGTTTCAAATAAGCTAGCTCAGATGCTGCTAAATGATGCACAAATCTATTCCCAAAAGCTCTCAAACAGAATGCCTTCCTTTGCCAGTCACCACTCACAACATTTTTTTTTGCTCGAATTACCCAGCAACGCTAGTGCCACCAGCAGCTATGTCCCCCGGGTGGCAGGAGAGCAGGCCAGGGACACAGAACTGCGCTCAGAGGCAGCTTGGGCTCTTGTCACCCAGCACCTTACTGCAAGAGGACAGCAGAAGGGAAAAGCAGCACAGGCATGCAGCAAGAACTTGGGAGCACCCAGAGAAACTGCCCCCCAAGCATGCTGGGAACAACCCAAACTCACCTACCCCTCAGCCCATCTAAGGAAGCACTCCCAGTTGCTGCACTAATTGTTTCCAGTTACTTGAATGTGATGTGAACTTGTGTGTGAGACTGCACGAGCTGCCTTAGCAGTCAGGTGTAATACATCCCCACGGGCCAAAAAAGGGAAACTCATTTTTCCTGACCTTAGCTAAAGCCCCCAAGTCCTCAGGCTGGGGAAAATTTCTCCTTTTTCTGAGACACCAAACAGAAATTTGGAGATTTTAACAAACGGGACAACACACTGGAGTTGTACAACTGAGCAAAAGTTCAGTCAGGCTTCTGGGATTCTCTCCACCCATTACGGTCTGTGCCATAAGCAGAAACAAGCTGTAACATCAGAGAGAAAAGTGAGCCAGCATTCTTGAAAACCTAAATCAATTCCAGCCTCTCTAAAAGCAGCATTGCCAGCTTCCAGTTTCCCTATGACTAAGGCATTATTTCAGAACAGTCTTACAAGTTTTTTCTACCTTGCAAAATGACTTGAATACTCTTGTTTTAAAGACACCTCATTCCCAACAAACAGAAGAACAAACAAACAAATGGTTACCAACTTGGAGCACAGGGGTCAGTCACCTCCCCTCCAAATCAAGAAAGCAAACAAACAAAACCAGTTTTAACAAAATCGTTTGGTGACTGCAATCAACAGCTCATAGGGACAGTCTCCAGAGCACCCAGAGCAATCTTTTGCAGAAGACAAAATGATTTTGTGTTCCAGAATACAATAATAAGGTTTAAGTTCCTAATCTGCTCCAAGACTTGGGACTTCTTAGTGGTGTCTACTGTTGACTGCAGACAGGAGAAACATATTTTACAGTTTACAGTAGCTTCTCAGTTTTAAGTTCCAGTATCTTTTCAACCAAGCCATACTCAGAAAAGTTTCAAATAAAACCAGATGCGAGAAGAACAGTCAGCTACAACTGACATTCTTTGCAGTGTAGAAGCCAATACAAAGCAATCAGATCTCATCCTTTCTCAAACCCAGGAAAAACAAACCTATCCTAGAGAATGGCAGTAGGAGTGGACTTGGGCTGTCTAAATTCTATTTGCTTATTACAGTTCATCATAAATAAAAGCTTTTCTTTTTTTTTTTTTAAACAAAATCTAATTCTAATGTCATCTTAACAATAACGTTCTAATATTATCCTAATAACAATAATGTAGAGGGGCACAGCACAGCTGAACTACCACTGCCATGATTCTCAGAACAGAATCTTAAAAAAAAAAAAAAAATTGATAAAAAGAATAAAACCAGAACATTGACATTTCTAGGTCCAAAATTCTCTCATCTTTACATTTCTATTTAAAGCTTAAATTCAATTTTTAAGATTACCTTTTATTTTTCAAATATCACAATTAAGTGGAGAAGTGCCATTTCCAGTTGGGACTATTTTATTTAAAACAAAGACCCTTAAGTCCATGACAGAACCTGCAATTGCCACTGCACAGGCAGGAACAGCATCAGAGCTGAGGCTCAAATCGCTGAAGGATTTGAGAGTCCAAACAAGCCTAACAATAATGTCAGTAATTATTTATCTGGACTGCCATCATGCCTAGGAGCCTGTGTAAAAGACTGGTTAATGATCTGTTTTGTTTAAATGTATTAAATAACACAAAGAGGAACAAAAAAAAAAGAGGTCTTAGGTTTCCAGCTCTCCCTCAGGACACCCATGTAGGTAAGTGCTCCCTAGGGGAAGGTCACTGCTCTGAAACAGCCAACTCTGTGTCTCCACACTAACTGGCATCTGAAAGACAAGCCCCACACAGGCAGTGCATCTATAGGACATTTCCTTAATGGACCTAAAAATACCCCTTTTTTTTTTTTTTTTTCTTTTTTAATTTCCCATCTTAATTACTTAAATCTCAATATTCCTGAGAGAGGCATTCTGTACGTTAGCAATCTATTCTGATCCCCCCTCCCCACTTCTTCTTTGTAATCAATCCCAACATGAAATGAAGATGAAAATGAGCTTTTGATTCTACACTGTCTTGACAAATATCAAGAGAACAACAAACATGGGACATACATCAAAACAGCCCAAACATCAGATGTTTTTGCACTCAGCCACAAAGACTGCAGCCCTTCTCGTGTATCTGACACAGGCTTTCTCCCCTAAGCCTTCCACAGCTCTCTGTTGTGTTCCCTTATGGATTTCCAATCTTCCAATCTGTCTTTCCAATCTTTAAACCCAGGCCTAAATTAAAATCACAATTCATAAAGTGTTTTAATTTTTGGATATATACACCTCAGATGTGCACAGCGCTTTGTTCCAGAATAGCAATAAGACAGTATTTCACAAATAGTGGATTTATGAGAGTACCAGCATGATAAGACTTCTT